GGCGCGGGCACTGCCACGGCCACGGCGGCTGCGGGCCGAGCAGGGCGCGGCCACGGCCACGACGGCGGCGGGGCGAGCAGGCCATGGCTACAGCAGGGCAGGAGCACGGCCACAACCATGGCGGCTGCGGGCCACGGGCACGGCGGCTGCGGGGCACGCCCAGGGCGGCGAGCAGGCCATGGGCGGCAGCGCGTGGCCATGACCATGACGGCGAGCATGCCACGAGCGGCGAGCTGGGTACGGGCGTATGAGACTGATTTTGGGCGTCTGCTGAAGATGTAGCTGGGCAGTATATTTTTGGGCGTCTGCTGGAGATGTCCAGTCATCCGACGCGCTAAAACGCTATTTTGGCGCGCTAAATTCTTTTTAGCGCGCGGCTCCGTAGGGCGTCTGTTGGAGATGCTCTTTGAGTTGCCCCAAGCATGCAGCCCATCGAGAAACAGTAAAACTGAGCCACCTACGATGCCTCACAGCGATTTGGGGCTCTTTACCGTTCGATCACGCTGTTGAACGTCTCAGATCTTTTAACTGTCGTCCCAGGAACCCCGCTCGGGCCGCTGCTCCGGAAAACGGCCTTGGTGGCCTGTGGTTAAGCGGGCCTTTTCCAGTGGGAATACGGTTTGGACGGCCCATTATCACTTCTTTGCTTAGCGGCCTGCCCAGGCTTCGCTTCTCTGGCGGAGACGGTTCAGGATTTACACGAGAAGGAGGGGCACCCCTAAAAAAAAGCGAGAGGGAGGGGCGCCTCGCCTCCTTCGCCTCCATGCAGCCGAGAACCTGCACCACGACCTCGCCTAGACCGGGGCAGGGCGCTCGATGCGCGTCCCTACTGACGACATGCTTGTCCCAGAGTATTGGCTTCACCTCTCGCCGATTCAGCCATTCATGTCCCCTCTTTTCCCTACTCTCTCTCTCTCTCTACAAATATTAACGCAATCTGACCAACAGAATTCGCTGCATGTCATTCGTCCAGACCCTGTCACTGAATCCTACCCTAGCAAGCAAGCACGGTTGAGAGGTCACACGACCAGCGGGACGGTGGCTGGATGCCTTCTCACCTTTCCGTGTAGGTAGTTTTGGCAAGATGATACAAGGAGTAGATAAGGACTAAAGTTGTTGCTCTGCTAATGGTCTATGAGCACGATCATATTCCCAGTGTCGTGCATTGCATCTGCTTCATGTTTATTTATTTTTCGGAAAAGAATTTGAAGATCTTGCGTATATTTTGACCTCAGTTTGTGCGAGTAATATAAAAATTGGGGGTACCTAGAGTTTTCACAATTGATAACCGGTGGATTAGTGAAAAATGAGTACTGCTGGTCAGACCTCATGCCTTATGCATGATTTGGAGCTATAACTCATGTGCAGTTGGTAGTTGCTTGAAATCGAGTGACCAGAACACACCCCTTTATTGGCCATGTTTAGTTATTTCATGAAAAATTAGAGTTTTTGGACTCTCTGAACCATATACAGATATCATTATTGCTGACCTTGAATTAATAGATAAAATTTGCGATTCAAGTATATATGTTATTCGTAGCATGGCATCATATATAGCACCACAGAAGATCATTTTTTAGAACTTACCCATTCTTCACTTGTTAATGGGCACTTCTATTTCAAATTTTGAGAAAGGAGATGGAGTAAGTTCTTTATCTCATTTTTAACTAATCTCCAAGAACTTAGCTCTGCCACTTCAATTTAATTTATATGCGATTTTTATTTATTTTTCTAACTTTCAAGAAGTATAACGAATAAAAATATACATCATGTGCACATTTATTTTTGGCTTAAGTGGTGAAGTTAAGTGTGCAACAATTCAAAATTTCCACAATTGCTAAAATGCTTAAGGAGGACAATTTTTTATATTGCCTTTACATTTATGAGACCTGACATGGAAACAACACAAATCTTCAGGCGCAATTTAAAGGAAACCAGCGGCAATATTCATTATTACCCTACCTTCAGGTATAAACCATCCCTTGTTTTCTCACAATGAATCATTCATGTATCCTCAGTTTCAAGTGTTCGGTATTTATTACATGTTATAACTCCAAATTTCTTAGACATTATCATCGTTACAGTACTAAAGATGGACGGGCGCGGCAAAGCGCGCCTTTATGATCCAGTAGTGCAGAAAATAGCTTCAGTAACGCGAGTGTATCGCGGGCTCACCGACAGGGTAGGCGTCGATGGGCTGCTCGCTGGGAGCAGGCGCCGACCCGCTGCCGCGATACATCGGGTGGAGTGGCTAGGCCCTCAGCCGCCGGGTCGAGAGCCGCCGCCGCCGTCTCTCGCAGAGGAAACCCAAGGTTGCGGTGCGGCGGCCGGCCGTGGTGGAAAGTTTCAGGAAAGGACCTGCCCTGGGTAGTTATTGCAACTGGACCCGTCAATGACCCTGACAGGTGGGGCCAGCAGTTCAGGACTTCAGCCGTTTTTGGATCCCAACGGAGAGCAGAGCTCCTCCGTCCCCATCGCCGCCGGTGGCCGCCCCTCCGGCCCTACAGCCCTACCCCACGCCCCCCTTCCTCCCCCTCCACGCCTAGCGCTGCCCCTTCCCCCCTCCCTCCCTCCTCTGCGCGAAAAGGGTCGACGGAGATGGCGGAGGAGGCGGGAAGGAGGAGGCGCGCGGCGGTGGTTGTGCTGGGCGACATCGGCCGCAGCCCGCGCATGCAGTACCACTCCCTCTCCCTCGCCAACCAGGTGCTCCACTAACGAATCCGTAACCTCGCGTCCGTTTTGGCTGGATTGAATTAGATGACTACGGGTTGGATCCATTGCGCGGTGGCCATTGACTATTCACAATTACCAGGCACACTGCGCCTGTATTTACCATGCATTTTTCTCTTGAAGCAAGTAGAATAAATTTTGGAAGCTCAGACATGCTCCTTGTTGCATATTCTTGTGTTCCAGCATAGGTTTTACTAGTAGAGTAGTATCTTAGACTTAGCTGTTCGTTATTCTTCTTCTTAACAGGCCGGCATGGAAGTCGACATTGTTGCAAACGGAGGTATTCTGTCTTCACACAATTTCGTTTTGTTGTTGAATTCTACTGCCAAATGGTAGAACGAAGCCATCTATTTACTAGATGCATGTTAAGGAACGTCAGACAGGCTGGAGTTTCATCAGCTCTCAGTGTTATTTTTGTTGAGATCTGACCTTGTATCCTGTTCTATGTCTATGAGCAGGAAGTGATCCCCATTTATCACTGAGAGAGAATCCATCAATTCACATACACGAGATGGTATTGATCGTTTAAGATATTATATTCTCTCCCTTTTCTCCTACTACAGTTAACTTCAAAGTTGTCTCTTCAGAAATCAGTGCAGTTATCGGGAATTTCAAAGATATCTGGTGCCCTGGCTCTGCTACTTAAAGCTGCCATCCAGTTTATCATGCTGATTTGGTTTCTCTGCTTTAAGATTCCTCGCCCTGATGTCTTCATTGTTCAGGTAAAATTACACGCAGCTTTCTTACTTGCATATGTGGTTCAGAATTACATGAACCACATGTCTAATCACTACCATTGTCGGCAAATTAGTTCTTTTTAAAGAGAATCAACAATCTAGAATTCGTTGTCCACCATGCTAAGTAAATGAATAGTCATAGTTGGCTTATTGTGCAGCTTAAGTATTTAGTTCAAATTTGAACTAGACCCACGTCACTTATTTATGAATGGAGGTAACAAATAGTAACTTATGCTATGATATATGTATAGTAACCTATTGTTGGCACCATTCTCATTTTGGCAATGCTGATTGTAGTATATTTACAGAATTGCTTACTCTGACCCTTACTTAGTTACAGAATATGCTTCAGTCTCATCCCGTTAAGATTTAATCACCTAGAGTCCTTTTTGATTCATATATTTAAAGATTCTTTTGGTAATAAAAATGTCAAATTTAGTTATCGTGTTTCACAGTAACAATGAGAGACCTGATTTCTGTCATTTGACCATCATTTGTCCAATAGAATCCACCCTCCGTTCCAACATTGGCGGCTGTGAAACTGGTTAGCTGGCTAAGAGGTGCTAAATTTATTGTGGATTGGCATAATTTTGGATATACTTTGCTTGGACTGTCTCATGGCAGAAGTCATGTAATAGTCAAAGTCTATTTCTGGTAACCCCTCCAACCATATTTGCTTATCTGCTACTCTCTCCGTCCTTCAAAGAGTGTACTTCCAACTTTGTTGGAGCTTAAAGTTTGACCGAGTTTGTGCAAAAATATATCAATGTTTGTGAAACCAAATAGTTATATAATGAAAATATATTTTATCATGAATCTAATGCTACTAAGTTGATGGCATGAATGTTGACATATTATTGTATAAATACGGTCAAACATAAAAAAAATTGACTTTCCAACAAAGTTGGAAGTACACTCTTTAAAGGACAGAGGGAGTAGACTGCTAGTGTATCCTATTGGTCATGTGTTTAGCTTGTGATGTTTTTATGTATTCTAGGTTCGAGAAGCACTTTGGGCGGATGGCTGATGGTGCCTTTTGCGTTACGAAAGCAATGCAACATGAGCTTGCTCAAAATTGGGGAATCAAGTAAACAGATTGAACTTCAATTTTCTTATTTTTCCATAAGGGCTGTTGTACGCATGCTGCAGTTTATACTAACATAACCACAATTTTCAGAGCAACAGTTCTTTATGATCATTCTCCTGAATTTTTCCGTCCTGCTTCCTTGACTGAGAAACATGAGGTGAGCATTTGTTGTCTGTTCTGCCTTCGCTACTTGCGGTACTGCATAACAGCATATGTAGCCTTAACACATGAAATAGTTGTTCTGCAGGTTGGGTAGTTCCATTTGTGGTGCTATGGGCAGTGCTGATTGCATCTCTGTTGGTATGTTGTTCTGCAATCAACCAGATTTTTTTTCATGATATAAGCATATTCCAGTTTAATTTATTTTATTTGGTTTTCTCTTCTTACGACAAAGAAAAAGAAGTGGAAGACAAGAACACTACTGTACTTACTGGCAAGATTGATGGTGGAGTTTCGTTGAAGCCTAATAGACCTGCACTTGTTGTGAGCAGCACAAGCTGGTATGTTCTCTTGAACTGAGTAGTCCCTGTTGTTGCAGAACTTTTATGTTCAGCTCACGTGATTATTGAGCAGATAGTTAAAAATTTGGACGAACTTATAAATCTTTGCCACCTGCATTCCAGGACACCAGATGAAGATTTCAGCATACTTCTGGAAGCAGCACTGATGTATGATAGACGTGTTGCTGCAACATTAGGTGAAGAGGATTCAATGGACGAGGGGCAGCTTTGGATTGATATCAAGAATGGGAAGCAATTTGATTACCCAAGATTGCTTTTCGTTATCACAGGTATCACACATTCTGCTATATTCTGTTGAATTACTAGTTTTTAACCATTGTTCTCATTTTCATAAATTTGATACTGAAGGTAAAGGGCCTGATAGGAAGAAATATGAGGAGCAAATAAAAAGGTTAAAACTGAGACGTGTTGCCTTCCGGACTATGTGGCTTGCATCGGAGGACTATCCTCTATTGCTAGGTATGCCAGCCACTTGCCAAAAGAATTTTATACTGGAGCATATATGCTGATTGTTTGAACAAATACAGGATCAGCTGATCTAGGCGTATCGCTTCATACATCCTCATCGGGGCTTGATCTACCTATGAAGGTTACTCACAACATCTTCTTAAGGATGTAGGAATTTTTATTTTCTGCATTGTAACTTCACTGGTTGTTCTTAGGTGGTTGATATGTTTGGATGTGGATTACCAGTTTGTGCCGCTTCATTCTCCTGGTAACCCATGTTTGCAGATGTTTTAATTGTGATGTTTTGGCGCTGGCCTTTTGGCTGCTCTATATTATAAGCCTCTGGTTTCGTTTTTCCTTTGTGCAGCATCGAGGAGCTTGTAAAAGTTAACAGAAATGGACTTCTTTTCTCAACATCTTCGGAGCTCGCAGATGAACTTATGGTGAGGACCACTTTTAGTCTTTATCTTTTGTTTCATTTCATTGTATGACTACTTGGTATGCATTTTAAAATTAGCATAAGTACTTTCCATCATGGCTTTGTTTTTTGGGTTAATCATTGAAAGAGACTTTAACTACTATTGCAATTAAATATCATGCAGATGCTCTTCAAGGGATTTCCAGAGGAATGCGATACCCTGAAATCCCTGAAGCATGGTGCCTTGAGTACAGGTTCATCTTCCAAATGGTCAGCAGAATGGGAAACTAATGCACTTCCTTTGGTGAATCAGGTGAGAGCTCAAACCTGGCTTGCTAAATGTACGCTGCATTCATGAGATTAGGGCTTACCTTCTTTCGTATGCAATTTGCAGGTCATAGGCTAAATTTCTCAATAATAATACTAATCAGATGTGTAAAAGGATGCTTTTGTTACTGGCCTGAATATGTACTGATTCCATAGTTTATAGGTGTATTGTACACTTGAGTGACCAGATGTACAGTACATTAGAAGGTTGAAGAGAGGGCATGTGCATATTTCAGTTTGCTTGCACCTATTGCTGCTAGGATCAGCTGCTACCAAGGGCATTGGTGTCGGTCTTTGACAGAACCTACCGCCAATGCCCCAGGGGGCCTCACAAAGTCTGTAAAATTACCTAAATGCCCAGTTACATAACAGTAGAGGGCACAAAAAACATAGTATCAGGACCCCCGTTCTCTTTTCCTCCCCGCTGCCGCCCTGTGAGTTCAGATCTCCAGCACAATATCTGGAGGCACATATTAGGTTCTTTGTTAGTTTGCAGGCACTGCTGCAAGACCTACACTGTGTCAGATGAACTTACACTCTGAATCTGTTGTGATCCATTTGTTCCCTTGTTCACCTGTCGGCGCATTGCCTCCCCAAGGCAATTGCGCTGTTGGGTAGCTCTTGATCGTGGCCTCGGACATCGCCAAGTTGTCGCTGGGTGTGTCATTATGGGGCAATGGCCAGGGCATCTGCGATGAAGAAAAATCGTGCATGTAGGATGTATATGAGCATGCGCACAGTTACTAAACCACTACAGTGCTTGTGTTGAGAACACATGAATTTAGCAGGAAATAGTTCCAAAAAGTATTCTGCAGCAGCACCTCAGGCATCGCCCCCCTGAAGCTGAAGCTGAAGCTTGGTGTTGGCGACATGAATTTCCTGAACGACCTGTGCTCGACTCTCCCTCCCCCACTCAGAGACCTCTTGAGTGTGTCGTCCTTGTCTCCCGCCGCCGCCGGGGTGGTCACTCTTTTGGCACCCATGAGCAACGCGAGCTCCTCCTGCATCTTCCTGAGCTCGTCGGCCCCGTGGCCTTGGACTACCCCGAACGTCCCGATCGACATCATCGCCACTGCAGGCCGGAGGTGGCGGTGGAGCTCGTCGTCAGATCGGTCAGTGTCAGCAGCAGCTGCTGCAAAGTGTGGGTTTCAGTTCACTTGTAATGAAGGAGGCGAAGAGGGGAAATATTGTGGTTTCAGGTTGGTGTTACATACTGAAAAGTTGAAACTGCTGGGAAACAAAATAAAAATGTACTCTACTGCGTACGAATTGTACTGCCATGAGCACTTACGTCGGTACGACCCTTCTCTGAACTCTGGTTTCTTGGCACTGCACTGCGCCCCACGAAGCCTACTCTGCACCCAGCTCAGAACCTGCAGCAGCACAAGGACCCAATCCAAAGGAAATCAGCGTCCACGTCATTCACCGCAACAAGAGGTGGCTCGGACAAAGGAAGAAGAGAATGTCTTCGTGCGCAGTACTAGTACCATCATGAGTGACTTCTTAATTTGCAACAAGGAGTCTAGAGTCCGCAGATGTTGGTCAACAAGGATCTGGATAGAGGAATGGACCGATGGAACGGAACGGATGGTGCCAGCCAGTGTATATGTAGGAGCATGACGTGTGTGCGTGCAGGTGAACTTTTTCCCATGGCTCGAGCTCCAAAGGCGCCCACTGGCGATGACAAGAAGATTCTGCTGATCGAGGGTACTTGAATCCTCGCTGTTGCTATCCAGGCCACGCTTCATCAGTAGGATCACTTTGTTAATCCTCCTTGAGCTATGCTTGTTGATGATCTACTAGTACTTTTTAAATTTCATTTTTCAAATCTTGATGATCCACTACTGGTATAAATCATCGACGTCCACGTGGCCACATAGGTAAAAGAGACCTGGGGAGAAACGTATGGCCGGTGCTAGCTGGGACGCACTTTTTAAATGTTCAGCTGCACGTACCGCCTCGAACCGGTCCCGTCGATGCGGAAAATGATCTCACGCTAGCTGTTAGCGCGCCCCTTTCACTTTCCTGCCATATATTTGACAGAACTGCACGCAAACGCTGATAACCTATCAAACTTACTATAGCAAATCTTAATTGCAATGCAGAGCATGCTGTGTGTAGGCAGCCCACCCTCCCACTTTCCTTTTTGCGTTGTTAGTAGCAAATGTACATGCAAGTGATGTGGGCCTTATAAATGTACTGTATTATATTGCAGCCATGGGACCTGCCATTGAAGAGCAGCAGCTGCTCATCTGCACCATCGTCAAGGCTCTCCAGGCCATACTCACTCTGCTCGCCATCATAGCAGTCCACACAGTCCACATCCCTCTGGCGGGCATCGTAAGAGAAGTAGCGGCTGTTGTGGTAGACGCCGTGGGTGTCCGAGACGGAGGGCGCAATGCAGAACCGGAACGCTGGCGTCTCGTCGATGGAGAATTCCCTCTCGCCGTAGTCCAACCGGTCGTTGCGCCTGCCGTCAAGGCCCACACAACACTGCCACATCGTCTTGAGCAGGCTGAGGTTGTGTGCCGCGCTCCCCTTGCGCGACCAGAGCACCAGCAGCCAATCAGGACCTTTCCTGGTCGTTTTACATGTGATTTTGATCAACTTGGCCATCATAGAACCAAATATCTCCCAACAATCCAATATGCTACAATAGCAAGGAACATATAATAAGTTAGAACTCTGGAGGAAGAAAGAAACTAATTAGGCGATGTCTTACAGCTAGTGGATGCTAGGCATCTTGGAGTTGCCATGCACCACACCCCTTACACCGCCCCCTGCTACACACCTTCCAGGCGCGGCTGCTACTCCTCCTTGGCAAGATGTTTGAGCAGAGTTACAGCCTAAAATAGAATTTGTACACACATATTTTGTGAGAAGATAGGCCTGCCTAAGGATCATTTACAGGCAATTATAAGCAAATGGGTACAATACATTTTCCACTAATACATACACAAATTATAAGGCTACAAATATACGAGTATCATATATTATTAACACCAGTGTTGTTGCTTAGAAATCAGAACACAGAGAAAGAAAATGGGGGATAAAATCACTCCCACCAATTCCAAGGGAAGATAAAACATGAATGGACAAACACATCTGTTGGAAAGGATATAAATTAGAGTATAGAATCACCTTGTAAGCCAGTGATTCCCATCACGCTGTGATGGGAAGGAGGTCGGGAGAGCGATGCCGCATGACGAGCCCTATCCATGTCGACTGTAGCCCTCGACCTCATGATATGCAGTCCCTCGTTGCACTGTGTTTTATGTGCCACACAGACCATCCCTCCGGCGCTTACTATTCACATAGAAAAATCACATTTGTAGTAGCTGTGTGTCTTAGGTAAGATATATATGTGTAAATGTAAAGTTTTACCAATCAAGCAGGCATTGAATGAAAGTACCTATTATACATAAAAGGGAACTAACTAAGATACATGCTGGGTTTTATACTTATTAGAAGTTGGTCATCAAATAGGCATAGATTACCAAATTTGGAATATCTACAACAATTAATTTTTTTAACTCATGACAATATGTAGTACAGTGTGTTAGGTCTGATAGATATGTGTAAATGTAGAGATTTAGTAATGAAGCATCTACTGAACAAAAGAAACAATTATACATGAAAGTGAACTATGTGGGCTATGCATTGTTTCAGTGGTATGTAACTTATGTTACAGAACAAAACCGACCTATTAAATAATCCATTGTGAAATCTTTGTATGGTAAAGAACATTTGTAGAGTAGCGTGAAATCTACTACCCCTATAAAAGAAAGAGAGGGCGGAGAACCAAACAATCTAACCCATTCATTTATGAGATCTAATGGCTCCTAATCCTTCCGTGTTTAACACGTTTAACACTACAAGCCACGCGTTAAGTCAATAACTGATCCAAGCCACGCGTTGGAAAAAGAAAAGAAAAACTGTCAACGCACGCACGCATGCCCCTTCCCGCTCCTCCTCCTCCCATGGCGCATGCCCGCGTGCAGTTCGCCGCCACCCGTTCTTCCGCGCCCCGCGCTATTCGCCGCCGCCCCACCGTACTCCGCGCCCCGCGCGGTTCGCCGCCGCCCCGTCGCCTCCAGTCCGGCGCGCGGTTCGCCCCCGCCGCCGCGAGCGTGAGCAGATGAGCAGCCCCCCCGCTGGTCCTCCTATGCTGCCGCCGCCTCAGATGCACACTTCTCGGGAAGTGCAGGCAGCCAGCAGCCAGCAGCCAAGGCGATCTGCAAGGCGCTTCATCTCCAGCCTCACGCAGTAGGCGCTACCGCTCGATTCCATCATCAAGGTCAGCAACATCGTCGCCGTGCTTCAGTGAGTATCCATGGAGTTGATGCCCTGTCCGTTGGGCTCGGTTCGGACGTCATTGACATGTAAGTAAACCGTCCTCCTGGACAGTTTATTTTCCTACCCTTCAAGTGTTCCAGGAATTGCCTCACGGAGAGGCGGTTATTTGTATTGCAGGTATGGGATGGGGAAACGTAGAAGGGTAGGTGATTTCTGCTGGAGGAGCAAGAGGCGATCGGCTAACAAGTTGTATATTTGGGGTAGTGTGTAGGATCTTCACAATTTCAAATACGGATATTCCTGGTGCCGCTATCTCTTGCATGAATGTCCTCTTGGTTTCAATATCGGTGCCTACATCAATGTCTACCATGATGTTATCTGGTATTGCCCATTGGCTGGTTATGGACTGCTATATCTGTTAGTAAATGGATGGCATATTAGATGGCGGGCAGTCTAAGTTTGGCTCATGACATACAAACGAGCATTCAGATTGTTTCCTTTAGAAAAGAGATCATTCAAATTTGTTAGGTAAAACTGTATCATCATTTTTTTCATGAAAATAATTGTTTTATTGTTGGGGAATGTTGCAGAAAATTAAATTTTTTCCTGCGGTTTCACCAAGATCCATCTATGAGTTCATCTAAGCAACGAGTCATGGGAGAGAGATTGCATCTACATACCACTTTGTAGATCGCGTGCGGAAGCGTTCAAGAGAACGGTGATGATGGAGTCGTACTCGCCGTGATTCAAATCACCGATGACCAAGTGCCGAACGGACAGCACCTCCGCGTTCAACACACGTACGGAGCGGATGACGTCTCCTCCTTCTTGATCCAGCAAGGGGGAAGGAGAGGTTGAGGAAGAAGGCTCCAGCAGCAGCACGACGGTGTGGTGTTGGTGGAGAGGCAGTACTCTGACAGGGCTTCGCCAAGCACTTAACGGAGGAGGAGAGGTGTTGGGGAGGGGAGGGGCTGCGCCTTGGATCAGGTGTTCAGCCCTCCCCTCGCCCCTCTATTTATAGGGGAAGGAGGAAGGGGGCCGG